CTAAACCCTAAACCCTAAACCCTAAACCCTCACTTTTCCTGTTCCTGGGGGCCCAAAAAGCAAAATGCCCCGCGGGGCTTTGTGGAGCCCCACATGGAGGTCTGGGCGTAAAACGGGGTTTATTATTTTGTCTCTAAAAACAAATAAATAAATAAATAAATGAATAAATAAATAAATAAATAAATAAAGGAATAAATAGATAATAAACAATTGATTAATTAATTAATAAGTTAATAATAGATGGGTTAACGGTAAATAAGGCGGTTATCAATTGATAGGCTGCACTAAACCACCAATTAGGGCTTAGGGTTTAGGGTTTAGGGTTTAGGGTTTAGGGTTTGGCAACCTCATGAGCTTCTTTATGCTTTCCAGGCCAACGATGTCGAAGGCACTTGTCTGCAGCAAATGCACAAATAAAAACATTTAATTCATTTTTTATTTTTGATTTATTTATTAAACTCATTTATTTATTTGTTTATTTATTATTTATTTATTTATTATTTGATTTTAATTGATACATTGAAAGGTCCCAGAGGCGAAGTAACAGCAGCAGCAGCAGCAGCAGCAGCAGCAGCAGCAAGAATAGTAGCAACAGCAGCAGGTATAAAAGCAGCAGCAGCAGCAGCAGGGTTAGCAGCGGCAGCACCTGCAGCAAGCCCCCAGCAGCAGGCTTCCATTAGCAGGTGCAGCCATTGCAACAGCAGCAGCACCAGGCTTAGCAGCAACAGCAGCACCAGGCTTAGCAGCAGCAGCAGCACCAGGCTCAGCAGCAGCAGCAGGAGCAGCAGCACACTTGAAAGCAGCAGCAACAACAGCAGGATCAACAGCACCAGCACCAGCAGAAGCACCAGCAGCAGCAGTAGCAGCAGCAGCAGCAATCATAGCAGCAACAGCAGCAACGGCAACAACAGCAGGCTCAGCAGCACCAGCAACAGCACCAACAGCAGCAGCAGCAGCAGCAGCAGCAGCAGCAGCAGCATACTTTTTCCCGAGGGTCTACTGTGACCTTCATGCTCAAGACCCAGCGAATTATTTCCGTTTGAATTTCCCCTCCAAGAAGAGACTGAAATAAATTAAATAAAATTAATTCTTTTTATTTATTTATCTTTTTATTACTTATGATTTATTATTTATATATTTATTTATTTTTTTATTTATTCTATTTATTTATTTATCTATTTATTTATTTATTTAATTTATTTGTTTGTTTGTTCGCTTCTGCTTTTTTTAATTGTAGTTTTGGGCTTTTTAGTTTTTTATTCCCTCAATTAGGGTTTGTTAGTTGCTGCCCTTTTTGTTTTTTGTTTTTAATTTAATTTATTTTAATTTATTTATTTTTATTATTTTGTTTATTTTTGTTTATTTTCAACTTAATCTAATTATTTAACTTGTTTAATTTATTTTTATTCTTTTATTATTTTATTTTTTTTCCCATTCTTTTTTTAATCCGATAAGTCAGCAGCTCTAAACCCTAAACCCTAAACCCTAAACCCGTCAGTGAGAGTATTCTACAGTCTAGGGTT